TTAGAACAGAGCATCAACCTTTGAAATAGCAGTACTAGATAATCATTTTCAGCTTCTATATTCATGTCTATATTGCTATTGGAGCTCCGCTATTAGGTGTTACCTAATTTTTATACCTTTATGCTTAATATTCTTGCAAAGAAATTTAAAAAATAAGATATTGACAAATGACTTTGTAGTTGTGTATGTCTTTACAAGTGAACAACGTTAATGGGATCGACTATATAATACTACTCACAAAAAGTCGACTGACATTCATAAGATATTAGCTGGYATCAATCTCCATTCCGCGCAATCCCCTTCTATATCTGAGTGGGATTTCCACATTCATAGAGCATAAATGAATAACAAAAGTAAGATTTTGCTGGTATTTTATTTACGATGAATTTCAACATAGTGATGAGGTTGTGAACTTTTTATAACGAGTAAAATTACTCAAAGGTGAGAGTTCTTTAAGTTCTTTAATCTGTCAAAAAACAATATAATTCATATCAACGTTTATTGGCAAACTCTGAGTAAGATTCGGTAAGATTACTGGAAATATTTTCCAGAGCTGAAATTATATTCTCGATCGGCTTTTCCTTTTTCACTAATCTGATCTTCTAGGTTCCTTAGCATCCAGACGATGTGCGCACTACGACCGCAATGCATTATTTTCTTCACATTCCTGGCCTCTGTGAAAAACATGGCGGATCAAGTCGCAAGAAGGGTACCCTGGTCCCAGAGGTTTGATATTTCCCTCTTCGCTATTTTTTTTGTCGGAGCGAAGCGCCGTAATCGAGGCCGCAAGGCCGAGCGCAAATCGAACCTCTGGGTAGGAGTCGGTTGGAATCTCACTTCCATGCGAAACTAATCCAATTAAAAAGAAACCAATCAAATAACAGAACCACGCTGAGAATTTTGACGTAGTGAAAAAAAAAATTATTCATAAAATTATTCTTTTGTCTATGAGCTTGCGTGACTTTAAAAGAAAAGAACAATTTCATGAAAACGAGACATCAAGGGCTAGTCAGCCATTTTGGAATAAGGTGTATATTTAGGAATACTGTGAAGATGAGCTTTAAACTGTCATAAAACTGCGAAATGCCTTGGCTGTTTAGATATTTTCATGAAGCAACCTCGACTTTTACTTGTTTAGCAGTGCGTTCCCGTGCAATTTACATGAATACGCGTTTTATGTTTTAACATGTGCCAAGTATCGATTGTTATGGGTTTGTTTGGGTACCTTCCCAGCATGTATTGTTATAGAAAATTCTGTGGTTCCACAGTTGATTATCAAAAGCATTCAGTTGCATGCTGGATTCTATAAGATATATGTATACTTCAGCTCTAAACTGGCCGTATTTTCATAACAGCTTTTTTGACCGAGTAGCGATTTAGCTTCCAGTAATACCAATTTATTCCTATAGTCGAATAACTACCATTAAGATATAATCCATTCAGGTTTGAATAATGACAACGATCGTACCACCATGCCCCCTTATATGTAACAGCACAATTATATTTGTTATCACTATCTTTAGTTGTGAAAGGTCTGTTACGATGATACGATAAGGAATCTCCAGCGGTACCTGTGGAATGCAAATGCCAACAAGTCAAGGAAATGCGACATGGTCTTCTTGATGGTTCCCTACACCATCTTGAAAGGTAGTAGGTTTTGCAAAAATTTTCAAAAAACCTAGACGTTTATTGTGCAAAATATAAGGAAACCTCCTTCACATCTACAGACAACCATTCACAGGCCATCTTTCGTTGCACGCTCAATGGTTGTCTCGTTTCGGTTCAAAGGTTCGTCAGCCTTTCAAAATGGTACAGGTAACCATAAGGGAGACTATCATTCGATGGTATAAAAAAGGTGGACTGAGCTACAATACAGCTCTGAGGTCTGAACGCTTCCTAAAATGAACGCATGGCATTGTGGTCTAGCTTCGGTACAAACAACTATTACCAAACAATGAGTGTAAATATATTGTTACATGTACTGAGGTTATACTACAAATAACCATAATGAAAACTGTGATGATAATTTAAACTGGAACGACCTGTATGTAAATCGCCCAACTGGCATTAGAAATGGTGATTGCATTACAGACTTATCGTACCCAGTCGTTTCTCTCTACTCGTTTAACTGGTCGCGGTGTATCAAGGAAAGTTTCGACTTCCCTTGATCCTTTGCGCGCGAGAGTAACGTTGCCTTGATCCTTTTCGCACGAGAGTAACGACTGGGTACGAGTCTGATTCCATTACTAGCGGTACCACTTTAGTTATGTATCAAATTCCTRAGCCCGCGATCACATTCCTTACTTATTCAGTCAGCGGAAGGGGGTTGTGAGTATTTGATTCCAATATAAATTAAAGAGCAGGAACCCAAAGGAGAAGAAAGTTATCTTCATGACTCGATTTTCGAAACACAAACTTTCCGTCAAAATTTTTTTTAATTCAAGATGCCTCCCAAAAAGGAAATTAACACTTACCAAGTTCCACGACAGCTCCAATATGCAGTCCATTTTTACAAACTTTCCATTGTAGAGGTTACATTATGAATATTATGTTATTATTATT